AAATTAAATTACAAAAAATGAATTCGACACGACAAAATAGAGCATCAATAAATAAAAGCTGATATTAAAACATAAAATAGGGTAAACAATCGTAAATAAACACGAAAACGAAAACACAATGCGGTCTTTAATTCAAATAATATAAATTATGTCTATTTTGTGGGTCGTTTTACACTTTTTTTTGTTGATAATTTTTTGTGGTGGGCACACATTGGCGGCGCCTGTGGCGCGGCGAAACCCTTTAGTCCGAATTATATTTAAAATTTAGTTCCTTTTTTGTCGATGGTTTGTTAGGGTTGTTGCTCTTTTTCTGAACATGTCCGATAAAAAATAAAGCTGAACTAAGAAATATTTTTCTGCTGATTTTGAAACATCCATACAGTTTGCTTTAATTTGACTACTACTGTCCTAAGGCTCTCCTCGTTTTACAATCTATCTTCACGTCAAATTTCATTAAGGTCCGTTGAGCCTTAACAATAGAAATACTTTTGTATAATATTAGAATGAATTTCTATCTATAAATATTTCGATACGTCTTTTCTTGCGACTGGTGACCCTGGCCTGGACGATTCGACTCTATTATTATCTGTGGTACCTCCTTATTAATCCTTCTCCACTGTTTATCTAAAAACGTTTCATTTTGATAAAACTATTGTCCACTTTGGTAGCCAGTTTACGAGACAAAATAGATTTGATGTGATTTTTTACACTACCATCAAAGATAGTGCATTATTTTGAAACGGTTATATTTATATCAGCCTCTAGCAGCTTGCTTTGTAAGCTGTATTTCGTCAGTTTAGACAGTGAAATTACAGGATAAAATATATAATAACTCAGTCTTCAGGAATGACAACGCATGTATTAACAAGGGCATCATGATAACGTGATTTATTGCCATATTCCACGTGTTTTCATCATTTAGACACCCATCCGTTACACTTATATTTTACATTTATATTCCGTTAAAAGGCATCACTTTGCCACGATAGTAGAGCTACAGAGAGCACTCTCCACAGGATAAAAATAAAACAATTACATCTAAACAATTCGCCCCCTATCTAAGGCCACACATCCACAGATGACAAATCGATTCTCCCTGCGCGCGTTAATGAATCGAGAACTTCCTGATTAATGGTGTCACTACATCCTTATCGTCCCGTTGTTAGTGTAGCACCTCCCTAATGGGATCACCCTGATCCTGGCGTTTACGCCCAAACAAACAAATTTTAGAGTGGTGAACTAAATGTTCTGGTATATAGGTCTACGTAAATTGGTCGTTTATAAGTGTTTCCCGCCTTCGCAATTAGCGGATGTCGTGTTCGATTTCCGAATTGCGTTCCATTTTTCAAATCTTAAGTATTCCGATGGAGTAGGGTTGATGGAATTTAGAAGATGCATTTTGTAGAACAGTTATGTGATAATCTGAGAAGTATATTCTTTTTTAAATTTATTAGGTGTTTTATTTGATGTTATTATAGTCATGAAATTTTAAAAATAGAATTTTATTTTAAATTAACAGTATGAAATTTGATTCTTTTTATATAATAAATATCTAAGTAGTTTTGACAATATATACCTCATTACAATTTTTTAATTACATATTGAAACTATTCACCGACTGGTCAGTAAAGATATGTCGTACGGTGAAGGGATTGTTAACGGGGACCAGTGGCTACATTGCTATCAAATATATTAGGTCGACCTCCACGCGGTCTCCCATGGAACCATCCTGATTAAATTTTGGTGAATTCGCAACGATAAGTTAACTGACATAACTTCATGCTTATCTTATATTTTGTACCAATTGCATGCTACTAAACAAATGTATAACATAATGATCGCAATCCGTTCAATAGCAGATATAATCCCTCCAAAACTAGCAGCAGTGGAATGAAAACAAAATCATTTGTTTAGATGCTTATATTAATTGCTTAACTTAAAAAAATAATATATATTGTAACTGTGATTAAAAAAACAAAAACCTATCAAACAGTTGGTATAACAGCGGCATTTTCCCGCCAAAAATAATAGCCATAGAACGAAAACAAAGTAATTTGTTTACGATTAACTGCTTAACTTAAAAACTTAATATATTTTGTAACTGTGATTAAAAAAAAACAAACGAATCAAATATTAAGTATAACAGAGGCATTTTCCCGCCAAAACTAACAGTCGTAGAACGAAAACAAAGTCATTTGTTTAGATTTAACTGCTTAACTCCAACCAAGGGTCGGACTGACGATGCGAAGACAAATGATTTGCTAAACGATTCAATCACTACAGAGACGTGAAGGGGTCTCTGTTTACTAACAGAACGCAATAAAGGAATAATACTCGTATTTTCTACTACCAACCAACACCGAATATGCACGAATACAATTATCTGAGACTGATTCATTAAAAAAACATAGTTCATATTAAATAACTGTTAATAGGTATATATGAACTATTAACAAGTATCTTTTTGTAAGTATTTTTTAGTCCATTAATAAGTCTTCCTTAATGTCAGAAAAACACTGAAAAAAATAAATGTCTAATTTATTAGCATTGTTATTTACATTTTTTAAATAAAATCTATCTAACCTAAGAGAAGAAGGATTTGTTTTTTTTATCTGAAAATGTAGTCGCTCCAGCTGTCTGTTCTCTTAGATCTTTTAAATTACGCAAAGGATTTTAATGCAGTTTTAGCAATAGATAGAGTGATTCAAGAGGAACGTTTAAATTCAAAAAAATTCAAAATATCTTTATTCATGTAGGTCTATTACAGTCTCTTATGATATGTCAAATCTACCGTCTGTTCGGAATGATTTCGAGATGAGAAGAAACTCAGCTCGTATTTTTTTTTAATGTTGTACATATTTACAATACTATTTCATTTAAATTCAAATTTGGGAGAATAGAGTGACCACCAGCATATGCTATATAAAAAAAATAAAAAAATCTAATCAGTGTTCGCAACCTGAACAGACCAGTCTCCACCAGCAGCACCCGTTCACGAGTATGACGTATGACGTTTCTATGTACAATACATGTACACCCGTAGTTAGTAATGTATAAGCAGAAAAACTTGATTTAAAACTATACATACAAATTTAGGAATTAAATATTTAGGAACAAATTCTTAAACTTACAGGTAGTAAACCTATAAGTTTAAGAGTATGTTCCTAAATTTGTTTGTACAAAACTAAATTAAGAAAATCACTGGTACTCTCTATGTTTTTACGATTTGTTATTATTGAATTCCCGATATTTAGGCAGTGTTACAACCACCATTATGATTACGGGGTTGTGATTTCTTATTTATACGTGTAAATAACATCATCTGCTCATCATCTGCTTCTTCCTGCTATTTGTGGTCGGCGTAATATGTTTTTCTCTTCCATTCATCTCTGTTCGCAGTCATCCCGTTATTTACTCCCTTTCTCACTATACCATCTTTCACACAGTCCATTCATCTCTTTTTCGGTCTTCCTCTACCCTTATAACCATCCACATTCATATGTAACACCGTCCTTAGGATATGATCTTCATTCCTACGTGTAAATAACGTCTGCATCAAATTTAAAACAGTGTAACACAGATAGTTTTTTTTTTTTATTAAAACATAGGTTACTTTTACCACAGATAAGATAAGCTTAATAATGTTATAAACGCGACAATGGATTTTGATGCAACTTTACAGTAATATAGCTTATACAGCGGAATAACACTTAGGTTATAATATAAAAAGATACTATGTAATTTGGCCGAAATGTAACGATAAATGTCAAGTAAGTGTGATGTAGACGAAGTTACGCGGGTTAGATAGTATCACATACTTTTACCGGAATTCAAACAGCTGCCTATTATTAATAAGTTAGCCGGCATGAAGCGGAATCCCTCGCTTCGTGAACTCATAATAACATGATTCTCTTATTATATAGATCAATGAAATCGATCAATCAATGATCGAGTGATATTCTAGTCAGGTGAAAGCTTCGAAACGTTAGTTGCAATCAAATCTGTTTTGTTTCTTAATGAATTACGATATATTGTATTGTGTGTGGACGCTTTTTAAATATAAATTTAATAGATTATATTTTAATATAATATTGTTTATTTAAAGTTTCTGCCACTCGAAATCTGCGAATAACTTATTATATATTTTGAGTTGAATTCCCTCAGACTAAAGTCATATCTAGGCAACTCTTCAGTATAGAGCAGCTGAAGACAATGCCTGCCAGATATGACTTTAGTCTGGGGGAATTTTACTCATAATGTCTAATACAATAACTGCTAGTCAAAGGTAGTCACTATAATTTAACTTTTTTTGTTTTATTTTTTTGTTTTTATTTATCCATATAGGAAAGGCAAAGAGTTTAAGACCATACAGCCGTTGTTTTTGGTATAATTTCTGTATTTTAATTAATCTTTTCCTTCTTATTTCACTTTGTTACGTCTACTTGTTAAGTTTAAATTTTTTCTATGTAATTTGAATGACAAACAAACTGACAACCCAGCTGATGGTAAGTGGGAATTGTCAACTATATGAATGAGCAGCATATCATGTATTTAAATTTCATGACAGTCATTCCTTCTTCAGTCCTGTCATCCCCGTATATATCATACAAATATTATAAAGCAAGCTGCTTGGTGGCTAAAGACTGAGGTACTCATGTAGACGATTTTTTACAGTCTACCTCGGTAACATGATGTATGGTCAATATATATAATAACATCTCTGGACAATTCACATAGCGCCATCTAGTCCCAAGCAAAGCAGAGCTTGTATTATGGACAGATAGAAAACACCCAGACCAATACAAATAATCATATACCGTGTACCGTGTACAAATAAGTATATCCCGTGCGAGGAATCGAATCCGCAACCATCAGAAATAAAGCGATGTTATAAACCGCTAGACCATCGGCGTCCTAATTATCATATGTATAATATTAACTTTCTTTTTTATCTTATTTACAATAAATAGAAAAGAGTGAGAATATAAAAGCATACTCACATGTGCGTATTGAAACCCGCAAGCATCCATACAGAGGTAGAGGCAGGTGTAGACCCCCTGGATCGTCAGGAGGCCAACCTTGAACGTTGCACGCTGAAGTATCGCTGCAACCAACAGATTAATCGCAATTAAATACTGACAGCAATCATGTCTCTGCGTATTCACAGAGTATCTACGTCTATTTGACATTTGAAACAAAAAAAATTTATAACTAACATAAAATAAAAAGAAAAATAATAATAATATTATAAATGTTCACTGAATTCATTTTTCTATTTTAAAGTTTTTTTTGTAACTGAGTTTTTTTATATAACGATGGTGGTATAAATAGAATCGGTTAATAAAATAAACTGACTATCCAGCTGTTGGATGCGGTAGTGATGTTCGACCCTGAAAAGGACTTCACACAATTTCGGTGGCTATATATATATCCTTTAAACTAAATTACAAGTTGAAAAGGTACTGTCAGTTCGAAAATAAAACTATATATTCCACCTGCTCAGTATTGTGATGGTAAGCTTATCTACTCCAATTAGTGACTAATATAAGAGTGACAAGTAATAAATTATCAGATTTTTTTGCAGTAACACCAAGTGGAGTAGACAATGGGGTATAAACATAAATTCCACCCGTTCGCATGTGATGATTTGATGATGAAAATAAAATAAATGATTAATACTCAAATGGCATTTAATTTTTAGATATAATAATAATACAAAAAATATCAGATACTTTCTGAACTATTATTAATTCAATATAAAAAATATCATACATATTATATTTTAATAATATATAACTCAAAGGTGACTGACGTAGTGATCTATCAACGCACAGCCCAAACCACTGGACGGATCGGGCTGAAATTTGGCATGCGGGTAGATGTTATGACGTAGCATCTGCTAAGAAAGCATTTTGATTAATTCTACACCCAAAGGGATAAAATAAGGGATGAAAGTTTATATGACACTGTCAATTTTAAATCGATCGGACTGAGACTTTGCATGCATAAAGCTACTATGACGTAGGCATCCCCTAAGAAAGGGTTTTGATAAATCCCTCCCCTAACGGGATAAAATACCGCGAGCGAAGCCGCGGGTAAAAGCTAGTATTTTAATATATCTAAGCATATATGTAGTTGTAAGACTATAGTTACATTAGTAGAGATAAACGTGCACATTAGTATAGTTTCTTTTAATGAGTAATGGATGCTGCCTGAAAACCAACAACTTATAGAGGTTGTTCTTACATCAGCAACAGCTGATGCAGCTCTTATTGCCAATTTTGTAAGTTTTTTATTTTTTATATTGTGTATTATTTGTAATAAATATTTATAATGGAAATACGGGCACTATAAAATTAAGTCAACATTGCTCGACCCCATTGATTGATGTCAGCGTTTTACCTTCAAAATGGTCTATTACCAACCATATATAGTCATTCAACCATAAGTTAATGTCAAAATAATTTTAACGCAAGAAATAACAGCTATTCCCTTAAAAGTGTTTAAGCTTCACACAAATGAGGTCCACTTATAGTAAGCTATAAAGGACTAGGCAATGTGCTGTCATTTGCATAACAAGGCAATGTTAGGAACATTTGAATTTGAACAGCGCAAAATAAGAGAAACGCGAAGACAAAATGAAGGTGCGCACAAGTGTTCACGCGGAAGCGATAGCGGAAAGAAGTAAAATGGTTTTACACAGAAAATTACATAATTTTCTTTAATTTATTAATCAATTAAACCCCTACTTAGTACAATTATGGGAAAGGTAGTGTTTTTCTTATAAAAATAGGCATGCAATTAACGCTTTTTACTGTTCTTTCCCTCTCCGAGCGATTCGACGTCTAGTTCAAACGGGGATCGAAATGACGACCTGAGCCACAGTCGAGGTTAGAACCCCTAGCGATGGCCTCAGATTAAAGTCATATTCGTCAGGCAAGAGTTGGCTTCCAGCCGCTCCATAAGTCCTTCCTTTGGTTGGAGTTTTGCTTTGCTCCCTATCGTTCGGCGAAGTTGTAAAGGCCAACTGCGGCCAACAGCATTAGAATAGTTCGAAAAAAAATGGTATTTTTAGGGGAAATTACACTTACCGTAATTCTAATGTTTATAGGGTAACGAAAATAAAAATCATCCGCTATACAAGGCTGTAAAAATCCGCTTTTGTCGATCGTCAGCCCTTTATATTTACTGTACTTTCAGGGGACATTATACTTACCGTAATGCTAATGTATATAGAGGAACGGATATAAAAATCATTCGCTATAGAAAACTAAGAAACTCCGCTGTTTGTCGAGCGTCCGCTTTTTTAATTTCCGCGTCCGCGTGTACACCCTATCCTATACTCTATCATTAAAAGATCCCGTAAACAGTTTCAAAACTCATCTTATTAGTACCCTTTGTGAACAATTTTCTAAGAAATTCTTTACAATCATGAGCATCTTACGCTTCAATAACTTTCTTAGCCCTTTGCTGCTTGAGTGGTTATAATACTTCTGCTTGTTAGTACAGTATTAAAACAGTATATCTTATATATGTTTACCTTGTACTAAGATACATTTTGTACTAAGTTATCTGCGTGGGTACCTCAGTCTCATCTACTTCCGCCCAAAGCAACTTACTTTGTAAACTACGTTTCAGTTAGTACAATACAGTAATAATAGTAATAATCTAGTAATAATTTCAGGACAATTCACGTCATCTAGTCCCAAGTTAAGCTACTTAAAGCTTGAGTTATGGGTACTAGATAACTGATAAATATATCAATTTTTTTTCGTAAATACATACACTTTATATATAGAAAACACCCAGACTGACACAAACAATAATACACAAGAATACAAATGTTTGAGCCATTTTTTTTTCGGACTACTCTAATGCTGTTGGCCGCAGCTGGCCTTTACAGCTTCACCGGACGTTAGGGGGCGAATGCAGATGGCACTCCAAACCCGCGGAAGGACTTATGGAGCGGCTGAAGGCCAACTCCTGCCTGACGGATACGACTTTAGTCTGAGGGCACCACTAGGGTTTCGAACCTCGGCTCAGGCCGTCGTAAAAGCAATCCCCGTTTAAATTAGACGGGGGATCGATCGGAGGGATCGAGTGTTTGAGCCGTGCGAGGAATCGAACCCGCGACCATTGGAAGTAAGGCGGTGTGCTAAACCGCTATACCACCGAGGCCGTCAAAGTCAGTGGAATTACTGGATAATAGGTATGTCATATTAGTACTCTGGAGTGGCAACGCATGAGTGGTATCACGGATGTCACATGATAACGTGATGTCCGTAGCGCTGTTCATGTATATAGTATATATATAGCCGACGATTATCACTTACCATCAGATCGGGCGTTACTTTGTTTGCCATTTAAATTACATAAAAATATATGTAACATTTATATATGTACATACAAAATTGCTAGTGGGGTTTTTCAAGGAGGACATATTAAGGTTTCTTAAGGGTAGGCAACGCGCTTGTGACCACCTGGTGTTTCAGGGGTCCATAGGCTACGGTAACCATTTACCATCAGATGTACCGTATGCTTGTTTGTCAACATGATAGTTTAAAAAAAACGTTATTGGTAGTATATATGTATCTAATATATAAAATTCTCGTGTCACAGGTTTCGTGTTTATACTTCTCTGAAACGGCTTGAGCGATTTTGATGAAATTTTATATGTATATTCAGTAGGTCTGACAACAGGTTTATAACAAATTTTTATACCCTTAAGTGTTAAGAGTGGCCCAAAAATTATTTTCTTTTTTTCAATAATTTCTTTATTTCTTTGTTGTCTATCACCAACCCCAATTTTGTATAGTGTTATTAATTTACATGGTAAAACAATATTTGCCGGGAAAGCTAGTATACGTTTATATATATATATATATAGTTTATAGATAGGCATATTACATTATTTTGCGAGAGGCATTTACTAAAAACAACTACCTCAATAATGTTAATATTCACTTCATAGAAATAATACATTGCAAATGCTAAACGAAATCTATAAACATAATAATAAAGTTAGTTAAACGTGCTAAAACGCTGTTTAATGTGATAAATTTAACTTGTATTTGAAGTAAACAGTTTTAAATGCATTTACCTACTCTTAGCTATCATAACGTTAGTTTATAGTTATATATAACTTGTACAACTGTAATTGAATATGTTAACTACTATTAAACGGGTAATGTAAAGGTTAAGTTAGCGTAATAAGTCCTGAGAAGTTATTTATAATATATGTATATATATAATTCGAACAAACCGAACATTTTAATTATACTGACGAATCTGTAATCATTTATAGCTAGTTATCTTTTGCAGGTGATATACGTAACTGTGTGTCGATTGAAGAAGCCTTTTTCGTAAAACTCTAATGCTGTTGGCCGCAGCTGGCCTTTACAGCTTCACCGGACGATAAGGGGCGAGTACAGGTGGCACTCCAAACCCCACGAAAGGATTTATAGAGCGGCTGAAGGCCAACTCCCGCCTGACGGATACGAGTTTAGTCTGAGTGTACCTCTAGGGGTTCGAACCTTGGCTTAGACTATCGTAATTTCGATCTCCGTTTGAATTGGACGGGGTATCGATCGGAGTGGGAATGGGAATATCAGGGAAAGATAAGTCGAATTTTTTTCTTAACTTGGGACTATATGCTGTGTGAATTGTCCAGGGTTATTGTTATTTTCTTTATTAATACACCCGTGCAAAGTCAGGGCGGGAAGTTAACTTACAATAAATATTAGCAAACTGATATTTATTAATACAGAATCGATAAAATTAACAAAATGGCTCATTAAGCATAATAGATGATATCTTATCTCACTCAGTCATCTGCACGCTATTAGATTCTGAGATTTTATTATAACTACTATCAATATACAGGCTGTTCTTATTTTCTCACACAAGGTATATTTTGTTATAAATTATATTTATATACCTATCTTATTTCATGTATACTGGTCACATTAGAAGGAAAGCTGGTTATTACTCCATAACGAAATAAAACCAATTCTAGGTGTATTTGTCACGATAACTTTTTTTTACATCAGGAAAATCTGTCATGAAAAACCCATTCGCTATAGGGGACGAATGGGTACTGCCGGT